TCTCCGGGCGAAGGCGCAGGGACGCACCAGCACCTGTAGTGGAGCACCCACAGGGACATCTCTCGAAGAAGAACTAACTTTTCCCTAGACTTGAGATCGGCTCCCAACAGGCTGAAAACTAGTGCATTAAAACTCTACTTTAAGCCACTTATCCCCATGAGGCCTGCTTCTCACATTCTAATCCCCCATTAAATCATTAATTTTAACGTGCTAAATTTAATTCAGAGGGCTACTGCTTTATGCAGAGTGCACTATGCAGCATTAGATTATATTATCTCTGACCTTACCAGTGTGTTTGCTATTATAGTAAAATCATGCTGAAAATTTGTGTGGTGTTGATAGCCAAATAAAGAAATTATAGCAATTGTAAAGACCTTGATGTAAGCAGGTGGAACTCTCATTGACTTCAGTCTTGTTGCAGAAGGACCTACCTATTGTTATAATCTCACAAACAGTCTCACATAATCCCAGATGAGTATCAAGCCAGTTCCAACATGGAAAGATCCACTCTTTATCTGAGTCCTCTGATTCCTTGATTGTTATCATCTTGAGGTACATTCCAGTCCCATATCCTTCTCCATCATGTCCTACAACTACCTTTTGTAAATGGCTCAGAGAAACTGCCTCTATTAAAAATGAATCCACCTGCAAAAAGGAGAAATACTTTGAAAAGCAGCAAAAATGGAATACTCGTTCTTTAAATATATAAACACACACACACACACACACACACACAATGCGTAAATGCAAAATGTAATAACTAGAGATGAACTTAAACCAAAAGCTTGGATCTGAATATGCTTGAACTTCAGAGAAACCTTGGACCTGGTTCTAGATCAGGATCAGGATCTGAACTTCATGACTGGCTTATATCTATAAAGGTTAAAAAGGAAATCCCCTCTCTGAACAGCATAGTTCTGTTCTTGATTAGATTCCAAACATTGTGGCTCGGGCCCAACATTAGTAATGACTGCGGGCTCATTTGATCTTTGGCTCAGATGGGACATTTCATCAGTCATTTCAAATTATGCTACAATGTGCTTCTGGATACTAAAAAATCCCTAGAAGACCTTGGTTCTGATATACTCATTGTGAGTTTCTGGCTTCCAGGATCTATTATGCAAATATGCATTAGTGGGGTTCCAGAGGGAAGTTAACATTCTGGAAAAAGCTTATTCATTGGGAGACAATGTTTTCTATAATCCTGAATTCTCTCTTAGAAAGCAGAGAAGCCTGTCTTTTGTTTTCTGTACAACATGAGAAGAAAGGAGGGAAAAGAAGTCTGAAAAGGAGCAGATGGGAGAAGTAGGAGAGAGAAAGAGACACAAGCAGAGATGAACGAGAAGGATGGGAAAGACAAAGACAGAAGAGGAACAGAATGGTCAGAGCAATGGGGAAGGAAGGGAAAGGAAAGAAGTAAAGGGAAAGAGAAGGAAAAGAGGACAATGGGGAGAGAGGAGTCGAAAGAGGAAATTTAATGCAGCATTAAATCTATATGATTCAAGGATAGCTTGGTGCAATGCATTCTTCTCATTTTATAACAATTCTATCTGCTTTGTACACTACCCAAATGAGGGCCCAGTGGGCCCCGGTATGGCTAACAATGGTCAATACGTTTTGATTAGCTGGAAATGTTTGCTGAATCAAGTTGAAAACAATTGGAGTTTTAACAATAACAATGTTTCATATAAAAATTAAAAAAAAAATTTAATGCACTGTGGGATCTTAATAAATAAAACTACAAAGCACTTAGAATGGATATATTAGCAAACAGCTCTATGAAGAACAACTCTGTGGTTAGCAAAGTGCTATAGAACGTCATAGCTATTTTTGTATAAAAGTAACACAAAAGCAGTTTATCTTTCACTAATATTAAAAATGCTTTCAGGTGATAAAACATCCATTTACTAGAATTCCACACTTGACAGTCAGATTGCAAGTACATTTAAGTAACTGGTTCTTAATTAAGGCAATACAGGAAAAAATCTGTGCATGAAGAACAAGTTACTCACCCAGTGCAGTAACTGTAGTTTTTTGAGATGTGTCCCTCTATCGGTGCACCACTTCAGGTGTGCATGTGCCTCTTAAACCCTTGATAAGAGATTTCTAGGTAGCAGCAGTGGCGGATTAGCCACTAGGCCAACGGGGCCCATTACCAGGGGCCCCAGCTAATTGGAGGGGTAGAGGGCAGGTGACCTGAGGGGGGAAAGTCCCCGTGCCTCGACCCCATGCTGGGGGAAGACAGTAACTGCAGGCAGACGGGGTGGGGAGGGCCCCCCACTTGCTCTGATCTAGAGGCCCCCCACAAAACCCTAATTCGGCCCTAACTAGCAGTGTCAGTTCGGCCCAGGCGTGCGCCCTATGCCTCCTCATGGCAGACGCCAAGGCTATAAATGGGTGTGTGGGCAAACCACCCTCAGTTTCTTCTCTCCCTAGGAGTCTCCTAGGGAACAACCAAACCAGAGGGGAAGGATGGGTAATAGAGTACCCATGGGGACACACATCTTGAAGAACTACAGTTACTGCACAGGGTGAGTAACTCATCCTTCATGCACAGATTTTTCCCTGTATTGCCTTAATTAAGAACCAGATGGGGTGAGTAACTCTTCCTTCTTCTTCGAATAGTGTCCCCACTTCACTTGACTTCTGAGCAGTATCCCGAGGAGGAGGAGGGAGCTTTGGAACAGGGTCCAAAACTGAAGCTGCATCAGATCTGATGGCATGAAGCAGGGTTTAATGCTTTGAAACTGTATGGATTGAAATCCAAGTAGTGGCTCTACATATCTCAGATATTGGAACATTCTTCAAAAAATGCAGTAGATGGGGCCTATGATCTGGCCGAAAGTGCTCTCACCCCCTGAGGGGGCGAGGGCTGAGTACCTACAGAGTCATAACAGGCAGAGATACAACCCGATAGTCATTTCAAAAGTCTCTGAGCAGAGATAGGATCCCCCTTAGATCTATCTGCAAAGGAGAAGAAGCGTCTAGGCGATCTCCTAAACTGCTTATTCCAACCCAGGTGGAAGGCAAAGTATCTTCTAATGTCCAAGATGTGGAAATAGGATTCCTGCTGAGAACTCTCAGGTTTTGGGAAAAATACTGGTAGATGGATATAATAGTTAGAATGAAAATCCTTTGGTAGAACCTTAGGATGTGGAACTTTAATGACCTTGCCATAAAGAACATTGTAAGGGGGGCGGGAGGAATCTGACATCAAGGCTCCAATCTCCCTGACCCTAGGGGCTGACATGATGGTAACTAAGAAGGCCGTGTTCATTGAAAAATGTAGTAGGGAGCAGATCACCATTGGTTTGAATGGAGTTTTCTTGAGGTGGTTGAAAACCAGGTTGAGATCCCAAAACGGGGTCAGGGTTTAATGTGGGGGAAGAGATTACCCAGACACTTAATAAATCTGGATGATATCAGGTGAGCAAAAATGAAGAATCCCTTGATGAAAGGCTGATACTGTGGCCAGGTGTACCTTGACTGATCTGATGAATAACCCAGATGACAGATCCAGCAGCTAATCTAGGATGAGAGAAAGGGGAACCAACTCAGGCTAGAGGTAGCAACAACCAAACCAATAGACAAATCTCTTCCATTTTGGTAGGTAGGTAGTGCGGGTTGATGTTTTTCTACTGTTTAATAACATCTGCTGCACATCAAGGAGCCACACCCTGAGATATGGTCGGGAATTTGATTGATGGTTGGACACTGAGTTGAATCAGGTAAAGGTACCAAGCTTGTCTTGGCCAGGTATATGCTATGAGAAGAACTCTAGCCTTGTCCTGCCTGATCTCATTCAGCCTCCTTAGAACTAGGGGTGGTGGGGGAAAGACATAGAACAGACTCTTTTTTCATGATAGAAGGAAGACGTCCCCAGGGAGTGGTGACATAGATCCTCCCCTTGAACAGAAGAGAAAGTACTTCCTTTTCTCTGAAGCGGTATAAAAGATTGATATCTGGCAGTCCCTATTTCTGGAACATGCTTTGAAGAAACTCGGTGTCCAGGTCCCATTCGTAGTAGTGGGAGAAATCTCTGGCTGTAGTGTTCTGTATGCCTGGGAGTTAGACCACTGAAATCTGGATGTGGTGGGCTATACACCAGTTCCTGAGCTTTGTGGCTTCAGTACCCAAGGAGGAGGATCTTGCTCCTCCCTGCTTGTTAATGTAGAACATGTAGAATACATTGTCCATCATTACCCTGATTGTCTTGCTCCTGATGAGGGGCAGGAAATGGAGGCAATTGTTCCTGACTATCCTGAGCCCCAACAGGTTGATGTGGTGGTTAGCTTCATGGGCTGTCCATTTGCCCTGAACTGTTAGGGTGTGTAGGTGGGCTCCCTTATCCTAACAGGGATGTGTCAGTAGTTAGCGTCACTCCTGGGGTTGGGTGACAAAGTGACACCTGCACAGATGTTGAGCTGCTCTTTCCACCAGTTTAGAGCATTCTTTATGTGCAAGGGGACTGTCACCTGCCTGTCCAAGATGTCCCTACTGGAAGCAGCTGAGTAGTAGCCTTGCATGACTCATGGGAGTCTCAGGCATAGCTTCTTCATCTACCCTAGCCTCGTGGTCCTCAAACATTTCCTTCTGCGGGGGTGGAGGATGGATACAATATGATGGATACAATATGATACAATTTAGCTACAACAGGTCAGGTAAAAGATCTTGGAGTCATCGTGGATAGTTCTCTGAAGATGTCTGCGCAGTGTGCAGAGGCGATCAAAAAAGCAAACAGGATGTTAGGGATCATTAAAAAGGGAATAGAGAATAAGACTGAGAATATCTTATTGCCCTTATATAAATCGATGGTATGCCCACATCTCGAATACTGTGTACAGATGTGGTCTCCTCATCTGGAAAAAGATATACTGGCACTAGAAAAGGTTCAGAAAAGGGCAACTAAAATGATTAGGGGTTTGGAATGGGTCCCATATGAGGAGAGATTAAAGACGCTAGGACTCTTCAACTTGGAAAACAGGAGACTAAGGAGGGATATGATAGAGGTATATAAAATCATGAGTGATGTGGAGAAAGTGGATAAGGAAAAGTTATTTACTTATTCCCATAATACAAGAACTAAGGGTCACCAAATGAAATTAATAGGCAGCAGGTTTAAAACAAATACAAGGAAGTTCTTCTTCACGCAGTGCACAGTCAACTTGTGGAACTCCTTACCTGAGGAGGTTGTGAAGGCTAGGACTATAACAGCGTTTAAAAGGGAACTGGATAAATTCATGGTGGTTAAGTCCATTAATGACTATTAGCCAGGATGGGTAAGGAATGGTGTCCCTAGCCTCTGTTTGTCAGAGGATGGAGATGGATGGCAGGAGAGAGATCACTTGATCATTGCCTGTTGGTCCACTCCCTCTGGGGCACCTGGCATTGGTCACTGTCGGTAGACAGGATATTGGGCTAGATGGACCTTTGGTCTGACCTGGTACGGCCGTTCTTATGTTCTTAAGTTATGTTCTTATGCGAGGGAGGATGTGAAACTCTGGTCTCCCGGAGGGACAGTACCAGTGGTCTGGTAAATTGCTACTGATAGGTGGCCAGCATATCCCTCACCCAGCGCCGCTTTCTGAAGCCACCATTGGCCTGGAGCAGTGAACCGCGGCCAGTGGGAGCCGCGATCGGCCGAAACTGCGGACACGTCAGGTAAACAAATCGGCCCACTACGTGCTAAAGGTTGCCGATTCCTGGGTTAGGGGGTTCTCTAAGTTAGACACTGAATCTAGTTTCATCCTTTATGTTGTTGATATGATTGTTAAATGAAATAATTTCACAGAAATCTGACTCTCTGCTTTCTTAAGAATACTACAGCTTGGTGATGAGTAAGTATGAAAAAGGATTATCTTATTTTTAAACTCTGTCAGTGCATTCTCTTCTTTAAGTAAAATTTCTCATCTGAGGTTATACATTAAATATCTCTTCTTTCGGGGAATATCACTTGTTTTAGTCCCAAAAGCTACTACGTTGCAAAGAAATTTGGTGCCCCCTCACTTTTGTTGCTGAAAATTATCAACGGAAATAATATTTAAGATATGATTATCAAAACTGCTATTTACATTAAAGGAATGAATCTCACAGCAATGTAAGTTTCCTGCATGAATCATTTTTATGATACTAATTTTGGTTCTTTGTCACACACTGCATCCCACATTTGGGACATAAAAAGTTGAGAGGCATGATCACAAGGGTTATGACTCAGATAAGCTGCTTTACACATGCAAATGTAGAACCCTGATGATCACCTATGGAAAATCTAAACATAAAACTGGAACAGAATACTGCTACAAAGATCTATAAGGAGAATTTTGCTCTTACAATCAAGAGCTGGTGGTAGACATTCAGAAAACAGTACTATTGTTTGAGTTTGTAAGAAAACTTAACATTTGTGTCTTTTTACCTTGTTCCTTTGAAATTTTCCTCCTTTTACCAATGATTCGTGCAGTTTCCTCACACCTGTGTCCCCTCTTTCGCCATACAGAGTGATATAAACATTTGCAAAGGTTTCTGATCCCCAGTGGTCACCAGTGTGTATAGAGACAATATACTTGTGGACTATACAAAGAAAGAAGATTGTTTGAACAAAACAGATTGAATTGAAAGGGTAAGCTTCAAGGAAAACTGCAATATAATTTAAAGATATTCTAATAAAATCAGAGAAATAATAACAGCAAAAAGAACACGTTACATTGAGATTAGAACAGAAAGGGAGTAGTTCTTCTGTATGAACCTGATCCAACCCCCACCAAAGTCAGTGGGAGTCTTTTCATTGACAACAGTGGGAGCTTGATTGTCCCTATGTGGCTCTTGTGCTAGTACACTTGGAAAAATTCATTCGGTTTTATTGTGTGGGACTCTGGAGGAACTCAGGAGAGGTCAATTTTTGCCCGTCAGAAAAATAAATGTCTCCAAGATAATAATAATAATAAAAAAGTAACCATCAAAGAGGAAGGCACTCTATTGACATGATGCAAATTAGAACAGAGAAGGACATAAGGTAGTATCTGAATTCATGACAGTGTATGTATTATATGACAAGCTAATAAACACATTTAACATTGTAAGGTATATGATGCCTTTTAAAGTCTTCTGTCTTTATAATGCAGTCATATGACTGCATTTCGCTGATCCAGAGAGGCCTTCTTCTGGGAAGTATCAATAAGGCTGCAGCCCTATTTACCCTTTATGGAGATAGTGACATAGTAACATGAACTCCAAAAAAAATTATATATAATTTTCAATATACATTATTATTTGGCTAATATTTAGCTATATAAGAGGTCATAATTAATCAGTGTAGTTTTCCTTTAAGATCCATAGTAGTTTTCAGACACTCAGATAAGAGCAAACTGTGTTAACCATGTTAGAACATTTAGGCTATGTCTACACTACAGACCTTAAGGTGGCATAGCTGTACTACTGGAGCAGGACGATTGTACGGTCTCCCGTCTAGCCACTCTATGCCGACGGGAGAGGGCTCTCCTGTCATCATAATTAAACCACCCCCCCATGAGCAGTGGTAGCTATGTCAACAGGAGACACTCTCTGGCCATAGTGCTGTCCACACTGGCACTTTCATTTGTGAAACTTATTTCGATCAAGGGGGTGGTTTTTTCACACCCCTGACCAACATAAGTTTTACTGACAAAAGTGCTAGTGTAGACATAGCCTCGGTTTAGAGAAACCATGACAGTTAGGCCCTTAACCAATTGACTTGCATGTATAATGCAGAAATGTGAAGCTCTGTATTCTTTAATTTTATGGATACAAGTTTAGAAGGCCCTCTGAAAAAAGTGGGACCTTCCCACATTACAAAAATGCCCTTGAAATTACAGCACAACTTTATTGTACAGTAATGGTTATTTCTGATATTCACTTCAGTAACTCAAGCTATGATAAGCTAAAGAGTTCAATACTAAGTCTACCAAAATTGACTTCCATAGCTTTGAATTATGTCTTATCTTTTACTAGCATAATTAGATTTTTCCAGTTTTGCACACTTAGAGTTATGCACAAGATTTAGCAAATGTTAAGCCCAATTTGTCATGTAACTAGGAGAGATTTTAAAATGTGCAGTATTGTCGCAGTGCATGCGCGAATGGAGTCGCTGCAGAACCACCATAGATACTGAGCACAGAGAATGATTAAATGTAATATTTGCTGAACTGGCTCTTTTTCAAAGGCTGGTTCTCATTGTTCCTGTCTCCTTTGCTATTTTTACCTGGTAAAGGTTTCTGGTTCTCATTCACTGCAGGGAATTCTTTCACCAGCTCTCTGTCTTCTCTGTTAACAGAGAGCCAGCAGTTACAGTCAAAGTTCACTTCTTGTTTAGTATGTAGCTCTTGCATGTGAAAGGACTTCAGATGCCAGCCCTCAAAGCCTGGCAAATCATCACAGCTGACCCGAATCTTGTACACATCCCCCACATCTCCAGTTTCAACCTGCAATAAATATAATGAAGAAAAGTGGGCTATCAAGGCAGCTTCATGAACAGAGATTTTTTTCCAAATGGCATAGGACAGATGAAGTTAATGTGAACAGACAGGAAGGATGATTTTGTGGTTAAGATAAAGGAGATGAGGGAATCTATTTCCTGGTTTTCCTCTAGACTTCTGGTGTGACCTTAGGCATGCCATCTGAATCTGCCTTCTCTGTTCCCTTATCTGCAAAATGGGGATGATTCTTTCCCCACTAAGGAGCTGTGAGGCTAAATTCATTAACATCTGTGCACTGAGGGCCTTGGATGGAAGCTGTTATGTAATGGTCTGATCATGCCGGCTGCTGAGTGCCCTCAACTACTATTAAAATCAATAGGATCAAGCCCTAAGTGTTAGGTATTATGAGTAATAACAAGAAGTAATAATAAAGCCTCGCTCAAGTAGTTTTAATGAAATATTCACTTGTATAATGATAGAATTCATAATCCAAATGATTTCATATCCACTTCACTGGAAAAAAGGAGCCATTTTGTTCTTTTAAAAAAAATCATTAACCTTATGCACAATAGGGTTGCCCTTCCCTACTGTCGATGATGTAACCACATTGTCCTGATGATCGGGAATGGGAAAGTTGAATCCCTTGATACTGTTGCTGGTTAACTTCAAGTCCAGGAGGAATCTTTCCACTGCTCACTACCTCCATGGATCTCTCTGAGCCCCAGTTTATCCATGCAATCCACAGCTTGAGGCACTGGAGGGGCCAAGGGTGAATGACATAGATATAAAAAAGGCTGGATAGACATGGCAACATTTGCAGTCAGATCCCTTCTCATTACTGTCTCATTTCCTTAGTGTCTGTGGAGCAGGGAAAAGAGAAGGGAATTGCTGAACCCTCTAACCTCTACTCTCCCCACCTCTTATTCCAGGAGGTAGTGATCTGCAGCCTCCCAAAGGTGTAAAAATTGTTGGATTGGATGGAGAGAGCAACTTTCATTCATAGCCATCAGGCCAAAGCAGCGCCCACATCTGATTGTTTCATCGGCCTACTGCTGGAAACAATAGTGGCTTCAAGAGAAACAAGAGACTAAGCTAGTTTTAAAAGGTAACAATTAATTTTAAGACAGGACTAAGCAAAAAATGTTGCCCAGGGTCTTGTATTCCATCAAAACTTCCTTCTCTCATTTTATAAGTTAATATTTTCAATCCAACTACAATATAAGGATTTGTGACTGGTGCCTGAGTGAGTTAACCTGTTATTTAGGGACAGCAGAGATGAAGGAATATTTTATATTATTTTGGGCAAAGGACAATTAGTTGACCTACTCTCATTAACATCAACAGAGGTCAAGTAGCTAAAATATGGTGGAGTGTTTTGAATGTTCAGAGGAAATTGTCAGTTAAAAAGATGGAACCTACTAAAATAATACTGCAATCAGAAAAGGACAATGGGTTAATTCTACCTCCAAGCTAAACCCCAGAAGTCAGAGGGCAGTTCATGGGGACTGGGACATGAAATCCTCCTCACTGTCCATGTAGCAGTGCTGCTCTGTGGCTGATACTGTGGCCCTGAGGTTGTAGTTATGCACTGGAGAATCCACCAGACTTCCCCCTCTCTTTCCTGGGCCAACACCTACTTGCCCCAAGCCCTGCTATATGGGGATACAAGAGCATCCTATGTGGAGCTGTACTCTGAAGTACACCGTGGATTTGCACCCCTTTGTGGGTTCACTATATCCTTCCCAAGCCTTGTGCAGTGGAATCAATGTGATTCCACTGTGTTTAAGGATATCTCTGTGTCCATGCAAGGGGAGACAGAATTTCCCCATTGCACGAACAGGGTTTTATTTCAAGAGTTTTTCATACAAGGTTGTGGAGGTTGCAAAGGGTATCATGAGGCATGGCTATATTTGTTGTACTAATCAGTCTAATTCTTCTCAAAAAGTGTGTGTTTTTCTCTTATTCTCAAGGGGAGAACATACTGTTCTTCTGCATGTCCAAATTGGACATTCTTCAGAAGCAATGAAGTCATAAGTTCTGCTTTTTCACAGCAAGACTTTCTGTTTTTAAAATTATTGCCTGCAGTTTTTCCTTCTTACAGATGGACCCCTTGACTCCATTTATATCACACAGCTACTTAGTTATACGTACCAACGAGTATTTATTGGACAAAACTTTATGGTTTAGAATTGCAAAGATACAGCACTCGGATATTTTTCTTTTTACTTGAGGTGGCATATTGTACTCTTATCTTGTCTTCTGCTACCCAGACCTCTAGACTTCTAAACAGTTGCAAAGAAATTCTAATGACATTTTAAAAGATATACAGTATATTGCATTCCTTGCAATGTGCAGACAATATACATTGTAGATGTAACGTACAGGAAGACAGTTTCAGAAACTATTTCATTACTGTGTGAAGCGTGACTGCTCTAAAACCATTGTTTTTCCTCCATTTCCCATAATCATGATTTCAATGAACTCTATGACTATGCCTCCAACCAGAATATATCTGCAGCAAGACTTCTTCCTGATCTACTGAATTAAACTGCACTGGGTAATCTCAATTGAATTCAGCAGATATTTCTCTCCTTTTAACATTTTTCCCTCTAATTCAGTCATTATTATCCTCTTTTCTATTTCAGTCTTTTGGTCCATCATCGTAACGCATGTTTTTATTACATCAATTCTAACCCTTTCCCAAGCAACTTACCATGATCACCTTTCTATTTCAGAATTGGATTTCCTACCTTGGATCCAATAATTGTCTTTCTTCACCTTCTGATCCCTATAAGCTTCAAATTAATGCAAAATGTCCTAAGTAGAGCTGAGCGAATAATTCTTAGCAATGCAGCCTCTCTCCTCATCTTATGGAGTATTTGCAAGCAGAATACTCTTTCCTCATATTTATTCATGATTCAAAGTTTGCTAATTAATTTTGTCACATATTTTTCCTCTCTCAATTAATCACAGTTGGAGCCAAGTATTCTATACTTGGTGCTTGAAATTTGAGCTATGTTAGTTGTGATTGGTCACATGCTAAGTAACAGGTATTGCTTCTGTTCCATGATTGAATGAGCATAACTCTTATAATCAAGAGCTGGCGTTGAACAAGTCACTGGGGCTTTGAGTCTCACAGATAAAGGTACCAAATAAAAGAAGATTAAGTAAATTTGTAATATTTTAAGCCTTTACCTTTCTGGGCTACCCAAGACTTCTTCAGAGGAATCAGTCCTAGAATAGTTAGGCTACTCTAAGATTTATTGTCTGGATGCATACTTTAATTTTAATTCGTTGTCACTTTCACATAAAGCATGTGTGCATGCATATGTGATCCTAGGTACAAAGGGTGTGGTCAGATCATTGTAGGATCATGTAATTTCCTCTGTATCAGAGCTCTGGAAACCCTGTCCTTCTAATGTGCTAAGCAGTGATCCTTCCCAAAGAAAATATACAAAGTGCATTGCTTCTTGTCTTAATCCACAGATGTTAATGAGAACAATATTTCACCCTCCTTCTTGTAACAAACTTTTATGTACTTGAAAACTGTTATCATGGCCCCCCCTCACTCCTCTTTTCTTCAAACGACACGGTATTTAATTTTCTGCCATTCCCACAATTGCTGACACAGAGTAATCATGAATGTGTGCATGGTCCTCTCTGCAGAGGTTTGTAGTCTCATACTTATCTAGCTCATTTAATACCTCTTGTACCAGCACTGTGGAGATTGGTTTTAAGGATCCCATCCTCATGATGTCTAGCAGTGCTACTTCTCATATGATAATTATTTGGATTACAGTAGCACGTGCAATGTGGAAGGTGCTTTCCAAATACATAATAAAATACCATTCATGCCCTGAAAAGCTCACAACGTAAGAAAACAAGAAATATGTAGAAATTGGGGAAAGGGCTAAATATACCATTATAATATATACCAATATCCATTCTAGGTGAGCTTAGCAGGTCTTCTATGAGCCCTCAAAATTTCACAAAAGTAAACCCCAAAGGGATGCCTCTACAACTGAAACAAATCATATTTTTGAGCAAACATGGATTTATTATTATTATTTTATTAATTATCTATTTTTGCATTATGTGCCCAGCTCCACTTTCATAGATTCTATGGCCAGATGGAATGATTGGTATCATTCAGTCTGATCTCCTGCATAACCGAGACCATAGAACTTCCCTGAATTAATTAACACAGAGCATATTTAAAAAGTGCCTGTGATGGAGAATCCACTACATCCATTGGTAAGTTGTTCCAATGGTTAATTACCTTCACTGTTAAAAATGTACATCTCATTTCCAGTCTGCATTTGTCTACCTTCAACAAACTTGTTTGTGCCTTTACTGAACATTAAGATAGACTTTCCACTATGTTATAGCCAAGATGCTTAGAAATACAACAAAACATATGTTTAACTAGTTAGGTTACAGAATGTTAAAACTAATGATAGACATCCCGGAATGTTTCTGCTTCTCTTTCCCAAGAACAAGCAAACATCAAGAAGACAAATCATGTAAAATTTCCATGTATTAAATAGAAGCATAATTGTAAAAAGAATGTAGGGTGTGTTATCAGAGCCTTAAATCTAGCTTGTAAAGTGGCCACGCCAACCCCTCTCCTTTCCAAAGGAAAAATTTCTGCTTGTGTTTTTGAAACTCCAGGAAAAACTTACGTAGGTGGAAATTTAAAACTATTGTTTATTTCTTAAACACTGAAATGGCAAACACCTTTTGAGATGACTAAACGAATTCTTTGCTTCAGTCTTCACAGCTGAGGATGTTAGGGAGATTCCCAAACCTGAGCCGGCTTTTGTAGGTGACAAATCTGAGGAACTGTCACAGATTGAAGTGTCACTAGAGGAGGTTTTGGAATTAATTGATAAACTTAACATTAACAAGTCACCGGGACCAGATGGCATTCACCCAAGAGTTCTGAAAGAATGCAAATGTGAAGTTGCGGAACTATTAACTAGGTTTTGTAATCTGTCCTTTAAATC